CAACAGAATCCTCATTGGCACATCCTTGGTGGTGGTGCTGAACCCCCCAGCGGGGTGAAGGCAGGGTGAGAAGCATTCTTGAGTCACATGGATCACAGGATTAAATCAAATGACTGAAAAAAAGAAAAATACAAAGACCAGAATGTGTAAAGAGTGAAGGGGAAAAAAGGTGGAAATCAGAATTAAACTTGAAGACTTTTTGTTAAAACTCTCTGAAATGGTGTAAGACCAGCATTATGAACCTTTTCTTAGGCACTCTTACCCAGTGACTCAACCATATATTTAATAAAACACTTTATAAATCCTAATGGTATATAATATTTGTGAGCATAAATATATTCTCAGCAACTGCCCCAGAGCTCTCTTAGTACTACTAAAACCATTCAACAGGACTAGAATGCAGGGTGTCATGCCCTTCTTTTGCTAGCTATTACTGCCAATACTAATGGATGCTGTTATTATACTCAGTAACAATGGACAGCACCAGTGCCAAGGGCAGATTCCACTTTTGTTGGTTACACATCACTGTGAAGCAGCTCAGGCACCACTACCAGCACATATGTGCCTGTACTTCTGTGGGTTATTCATGATCACAAATGTTTGTTGCAAAAGGAAACATGCTTTACATGGGCTCTGGTTCTACATAAAATTAAATAGGAAAATTAAATCACCTGCAGACAGAAGGTTAGGATTTTTCTTCAGTCATAATACCAAGACATATGGATATCTTTATGATAAATCATATCATGATAAATCAGATCTCCTCAGTATAGCTGTAAATATTACAAATCAGCAATGTTCACCGCCCTTTTCTTGCAAATAAGGGCAACTTGAAATGGATGTCTGAAATCTGAAGCAGTTGTTAATACTGAATCTGCATTTTGGTAGAAAAAAGTAACATTTTAAAGTGAGAATTAGAATTACAGAAGAAACATGAGTCCAAATCCAGAAGAGACACACAAAAGAGAAGCAGTATCTCCAATGGCCAGTGTCTCAGGGGCTTAGCAGGAGCCGAACAAACAATTTTTTGCACTCTGATTAAAAGGCTTATTGAAAAATTGCCATGTTTTTCACAAAGGTGTCAAAGTAGAAAGATGAACTTTCAGCCTTAGCTCAATGTCATGCTGCAGTGCGCAAGAAAAGAACAAACACAAGCTTACAAATGCAGTTTGTTCTCTGTATCATGAAAGCCTGGCAGAACTCCAGTGCTGGAGTAATGCCAAACCAGCACACCAGCGTCTTTGATCTTCCAAAGCTCATGTTTTCCTTTAGTGTTTAACATCTCCACTAATTTAAAATCAATGTACAAATGGCTTTCAGAAATAATTGTGAGCAGCCAAAGTCTCGACATTTCATAACTATTCAGGTCGTTGGCAACTGTCACAAGTGGAAACTTGGAAAGCTACAGGGGCTGAGCCGCCGGAGGTTCAAACACCCTCGATGCCCTGCAAACTGTGCATTGCTGCCCGTAGGTTGCTGAACACCTGCATTCCCATGGGCAGAGCATTTCCAGGCTTTGTACCTGCAAACCTTCCGTCTGAACCCCAGATTTATCGGATCTGACACCAGCCCGTGATTTCTTCCCTCAGACACCACAAGAGCGCTCACTGCACTCCCACACAGCTCTGCTGCTCCTCAGGGGACAGCAGTGGGAGTCCCCTGAGGATTTCTGCATGGCCTCCTGTAGTTCCACTCATCAATCACCGACCTCTCTACTTTTTTAGTCTTCTTGGACTAAAAAGTTCATTCTTATGGCATCTGCTACAGCTCCATTCGTGGCACTTGTGTTCCTCATGATTATGCTTGTGACTACTTGTGACAGACCGGCTCCGGGAAGGAGGCCAGAGAGAGATTTCAGCTGGATCGCCACGCTAGGCCCAGCTCACTGCCTTTTCAAGGAATTTCAACTCTGGCCACCGCCATCGCGGGCACGGCCCGGGTCCGGCCCGCGTCCGGCCCGATCCCCTCGGGCCCCTCCCGGCCCCGCTCTGCCCTCAGAGCCGCCCGCAAGCCCCGCCCCTCGCCAGCGCCTCACAGCCGCAGCCCCTTGTCTGATGCAATTCGCTTCCCCCCTTGCTCGCCACCTCGGGCCAATCACGAGCTCTCTTGGCTGTGACGTCACGCGTCGCAGCCAATGAGCGAGAGCCACGATGGTAGAAATCCGGGCGGGGCGGTGCGGGGCGCAGTCGGCCGCGCTGGTGACGCGAGCGGCGTGTCCCCTGTCCCGCCGTGCCGCCATGGCAGCGCTGCCCGGTGCCGCGGCCCCGCGGCTGCTCCTCATCCCTAGCAAAGCGGCCGAGGCTCCCGGCACCGCGGCCGCCCGGCATCTGTCCGTCGTCCTGCCGGCAGGAGCCGACCCCGGCCTCCCGGCGATGGAGACCGCGCAGCCGGCCCGCAAGCGGCAGCGGCTCACGCATCTGAGCCCAGAAGAGAAGGCGCTGCGCAGGTGAGTGCGGGCAGCGGTGGCGGGGCTGCGGCTGTACTCGGTGGAGGTAAAGTGTCCCGCTGACGGCCGCTCTGCCCCGCAGGAAGCTGAAGAACCGCGTGGCGGCCCAGAGTGCCCGCGACAGGAAGAAGGCGCGGATGACAGAGCTGGAGCAGCAGGTGGTGGAGCTGGAGGAGGAGGTAAAGGGCTGCGGGAGATGCGGGGCTGGAGCAGGGGAGGAAGGGAGCGGCCTCCCTGCCTCACGGCTCTTTGCAGAACCAGAAGCTGCTGCGGGAGAACCAGCTCTTGCGGGAAAGGACGTGTGACCTCGCGAGGGAGAACCAGGAGCTCCGCTGCCGCCTGGGGTTGGATGCTCTGAAGACGGAGGAGGAGGGTGACGAGTTCCAGGTGAGCCGCCCGTGTCCGCCCCCGCCTTGGGCAGAGCTGCCCCGATCCCGGGGCACCCTCGGGGCTCTGGGCAGGGATATGCCGGAAAGACCTTTGCCCTCCATATGGAGGCTGTCCTGAAACTTTGTGGGTGCCAAGTGGAAAGGAGTAATGTGGGAGGTAGAAAGCTGACTAATTCCAGGCTGGTTTAAGACAGTTTTCTCTTATTGTCTACCTTATAGAGATGAAGTAAAAACTGTAACAGTCATGTAGGTGTGTCTCAGATGTGGTGGAGAAGGTCAGGCTTTAATTTAAAAGTATCAAAATAAACGTGCAAGTGTAGGGAAGCTTTGGCTAACTTTGAAATTACCTTACCTTCAGGTTCCTACAGAACAAGCAAATAGGGAATTTTGTGTTGGAAGCCTAAGCAGAAGAATTATGATCTTGAAGATCGTGTACTGTACTGTACTGCCAGAACACTTGAAATGACTGAGTTTTTGTCTTGGTACAGGTTGTGAAGGAATCCCAGGTGGATGAGATCAGATTGGTGACCGGGTCCGCTGAGTCCGCAGCACTCAGACTACGTGTTCCTCTGCAGCAGGTGCAGGCCCAGCAGTCACCATTTCTGATAGTTTCCACATGGATTCTGATGGCAGTGACTCTTCAGACTCTGAGGTGAGCATCCAGTCCTATACAAACTGTCCATGAAATTCAGAATTACTGTAGATGTAAGATTAGTGTTGTAATGTTTTGATGTTAAATCATTTGGTGATTTCTGTTTATTCCAAATCTTGGAATGCCATTCCCTTGCATCAGAACAGCTATGTCCAATGAGTACAGGAATTCACATGAAAAAACCCAGTGCCCCACAGCTTTAGTCATGTGCAGGTCTGCCTAAGCCAGGTTTTGGTCTGTGCTTTGTGTAGCCAGCAGGCACTGTGGTGTTTGTACTTGATGGGTACAAGATCTCAAGGAGTTTCTAATAGTGGCTGTAAATCTTAAATGCATGTGTAATTCCCTGGGGATTGCCAGAACCCTTACAGAAAAAGCTGTGGACAAAGAATAACTGTGCCCTGGTACAGATTGCCCAAAAGGGTGTGGAGTCTCCCTCACTGGAGACAGTTGAGAACCATCTGGTGCAATCCTCTGCCACGTGCTCAAAGATGACTCTGCTTGAGCAGGGAGATTAGACCACATGTGGTCTACTGTGGTCCCTTCCAACCTGGCCTATTCTGTGAATTTCTGCAAGATAGGTAACTGCCTTAACTGTGTATTTGATGATATTCCTGGTAAAACAACTGTGATTGCATCAGTGTATGTTAACTTCCACGTGGAGGTTAGTAGAGGCCACTTTTGGTGTTTGGCTGTAACAGTAGTAAACTGTCTTTCTAAAACTGTCTTTCATTTTGCAGTCTGATGTCCTCTTGGGCTTTCTGGACAGTCTGGACCCAGAGTTGTTTCTCAAATATGCTGATTCAGAGTCAACGTGCCTGGAAAAGCTGGATGAAGAGATCTCTGGAGAAACAAATTCCATACCAGCCGCCCTCTCTCCCTCTTTGGGGTCCCCATCAGCCAAGCTGGAAGCCATTAATGAACTCATAAGGTTTGATCACGTGTATACAAAACCCCTGGTAGTGGAGATTCCTGTTGAAGTGGCCAACCAAACCAATATGCAAGTGAAAATTGAGAAAGAAAATCTCTCTTCATCTGACGACAAGGCCATCCCTGAAGTCCCAGTGTCTGTGAAGAAGGAACCTGTAGACAGCTTCATGCCTGAACTGGGCTTTTCTCATCTGCTTTCTTCTTGTCATAGCCTTGAAGCGTCAAGCTACCTGTTGGATGGCTGTAGTGACTCTGGGTATGAGGGATCCCTGTCTCCCTTCAGTGATACATCGTCTCCGCTTGGCGCTGACCATGCGTGGGAGGACAGCTTTGCCAAGGAACTCTTTCCCCAGCTCATCAGTGTCTAACCTGTAGTGTTAACTCCCTGTCAACAACTGTCCTGTCCTGCCAGGAAATCTGCAATGCCCCTTTGGGGTGTGTGTGGGCAAAATCAAGCCCATTCAGAAAAGTGTTTCTCACCTGTACCATGCTAGTTGATGGTATGAAAAAGCCTGGGGTGTCCTGTGCTGCCCTGGCTCCCCCCAGTCAGTGTTGGCTTAGGAGAGAGGCAGGTTTGTTTCTCAATAACTTGCTCATTCTCTCTGAACCTGAAAATGTTTTGTTTTCCAGTTAAAATTTTAACACCAAAAACTAAACTGGGATATTCATGTATAGGCAACTGGGCTAGACCTTAATAGTCTCTAAGTCTTAAAGCTTCACTAAATGCTTGTTTTCCATTTGCTATGTAGAGTTGCTTTGTCCATTTAATATTTAACTGTATTGGTGCAATTAAAATGCAGTGCAGCTCACTGACCCTGTTTTGCCTTAGAACTCACTGGGGAGGGGAGAGGATTTGGGCCTTGGAGAATTTAAGTTCAGGTCCCTCAGTGTCTCATCCTGCTGCAATATATTGGGGAGCACTGTTCATACGGTGTCTGCAGCTGGGTGCTTCAGCAGTTCCCTTTTGGGGACACTGGATGTGGTAGATGGGTTTGTGTGAGGGCCAGAGCAAAACTTTCAGCCTCTGTGAGGCAGGCACATGGCAGGAGCTTGAAGTCTAAATATTCAAAAGTCAGGGCAGTTGTGGCACCCTGGTGGCCAGCAATGCTGTCCAGAATTCTCCATCTGAGGGGAGGTGGGTGCACAGACATTGTATGAAAATGGTTGCAGGTTCTGTATTACCACAGGAAATCCTGAAGCATCAAATGGACTTGTCAGGAGCTCATTTCAAATACCACAGCAGGACTTCTCATTGTCCACATCCATTTGCTCCAGTATCCAATATTTATCACAATATTTAAAAAGCTTGGAGAGACAGAAGAAATTTTATACTGAAGATGAGAGCTGTTGCAGGTGTTGGCACAGCTGCTCTTGGTTTCAGTGCTATTTCATGTTTTGCATTCAGTTTTGGCAAAAATAACTTGGGGTGGGGAAGAAAGAAAACCAGAGAGGTTTCAGTCAGTAACATTCAAGGTGACAGGACTGCTTTGGATTACAAGCTTGAGTAACCTAGTTTATAATGAAGGATTCCACCTGAATAGTGGGTAGAAGACTACAGCTGTGCAGTGTAACAAATTTAGATTGAAAATCCAAGTAGTCAGAAGAATAAATTGCTTTCCTTTCATGGTGACAAATAGGGATGACTACAATAGTATCCAATTGTTGCATGTCCAAAAAAAGCAGAAGTGAGGATTTGATCTGTAGCTTTGCCATACATTTTGTAAGCACCCTTTTATGAAGCCCCAGCTCTTCCTGGCAACCATGAGCAAGCCATTTCAACATCTAAAAAATCCAAAGAAAATTGTATTACAGTCTCCTTTTCATCACAGTAGGACATGGGATGTGCTTAACATTTCAGCCTCCTTAAGCACAGGAGACAGAAATGTTCAAGGATGTGGTCTTTACTCTTTACGCTGTTTTGCTTTCCCTTCTCAACAGCTCTATCCTGGCATGCTTTATCCTGACTTAGTGCAAACACTGGTGTTAACAGTTGCTGAGACCTCTTCCACTAAATCCACAGAACTAGTTCTTGTTTGGCATCTGGAAGCCTACTACCATGGAGAATCCCTATGAGCACTGGTATTTTCTACTAGAATCAAGTCCACTAAGATGGTACACAAAAAAAGCAAGTCTTACCTTCCAAGAAAATGACTAAAATCTGAATTTAAAACTCTACTCAAACATTCCTTAACTTTAAAAATACCTACCTTGCTTAGTTCTGAGTAATTTTATTCTGAAGTAAAATAAAAGATCTCAAAACACAAGCTATAGCAACACTTTTTGGTACCCCTATTGCTTTGTCAGAGGTCTTTGGATCATGACAGACTTTAGATAACTTTTCCTTCCTGGCAGCTTCAGATTTATTCTATTTTGCTGTTGCCTTCCCTTGTCCTAGTGAATATTGTGGAGGAAAAAAGGGGAATGCCTTTAACATAACATAGTAAAATTCAAATCTTCTTAAGCCAGAAGAGAACTTCACTGTCCAGCTGAAGGACTACACATGGACTCCCAAGGTTTTATCACTCTTACCAGGAATGAAACAGTCATCTAAAAAATATTTTAGAAAATTTATTGAAAACTGACATACAAAGGGTGATTTGGTCCCAAGAGAAGACAGACCAGAATCAGATCTTTAATATTTCAAAATAATGTTTTTTCTAATACTGCGTCGCCTTTGCCATCCTGTCTGTGAACAGCATTAATAAAAGTCTTTAATGAAGACAACAACAAATGAAACTCACAAATACAGAAGTCTGTAAATGCCCACAGCTTGATCTCCCATCCAGTCACCCTCTCCAAGTGATTGCTGCAGCAAGGATCTTGCTCAGTGCTCCTGTCACTTGGTGCCCACTCTTCCATCAATTTAAGCAACTCAACCCCTCTGTCTCCTATCATAAGGGCAGAAATGCATTGTGAAAAAATGAAAGCAAATGTTTTCTATCAAAGCAAACTTTTTAGACAATTTTTTTTGTCCATCTCATAGTCTTTGTCAACAGTGCACCACTCTATTCTTGTTTTAGATGGCAGGTAACAGGTCAGTGATGCCCTACAGGCATTGAATTAAGAGGAAAAACACCTCTAAAAGTCAACCTTTGGTAGCAACCTAGCAGGAAAAAAAGTATGTTTAAAAGCCATCCACAAGAAATTCTGCAAATCTGATATGCAATTTGGTGTTTTTAAGAGAAAAACAACTGCATCAATTGATGTATTTAGGCCTCCCAGAGGGTTTTTTTGCATCTTCTGTTGCAGTTTCAGTGTTGCTGAGATGGTTTCATAATATTTTTGAAATTTTATCCTTTTTTTTCAATTTATTTAGGATTCAGAGCTTTCACCTAAAATACTTTAACTATAATCCAGCAAGCTAAAAACCAGTCACTTACTTGGAGGCATCACATTTTCTACCTGCAGTGACTACAGCTTTCTCCAAACTGACTGCTTTATGTTCTGCTCAACCACTGGAGCACATCAGAGGCTGTAGGTTTTAAAAGATGTTCAGCAGCTTAATAATACATAAGAAATTTTCCACAGTTCATGCAAAAGATTTATAGCAGACCCTGAAATGAAATTAGGCATTATAGCAAGATAGGCTGCACATGTTCTTCAACTTAATAAACCTTCCAGAATGGTACAGGTGTGCACTGGTTTCCAGAGTAACACCTACTCAAATGCTGGAGTGTTTTTAGTGAAACTCTAAAATGTTTTATCAAGAGACAGGAAATTTCAGACAACCTTCAACAAAAGCAGCAAGATAAACAGGGTTCAACAAACAGGTATGTTTTGAACAACCAGAAGGACTGCAAAAAGAGAAGACTGATTTTAAGCTTTCAGCTATGGGTTATTCAACAGTGAAGAATATTATCCCAAGGATTATCTTTCAGCTCTGCAGAGAAGAGTAGATTTTCTGCAGCTGCATTCCTGTGTACTTGCTCCTTTATGTTAGCAAGATGTCAAAACCAGATTGGGACATCGGACTCTGAGCAGAACCTGTTACTTGGAAAGGATTTCTTATAAAAGCCTCAGTTCAGGTATCTCTGAGAAAGCTCAAGGACTTAAGAACAAAAGATAAAACCCTTAAACAACTTAGAAAACCTTAAGCATAACAAACTGCTGTGCACTGAGAAAAGGTACAAGCAATAGCTCATTGTGAGCTCCTTTCCTTGGCACTCTGTGCAGGGTACAAAGTTCTTTTGGCATACATCTGTACAAACAATGTGAGGCTATATTATTGGCACATACTGTGGCTTAAATTTTAGGTCTAGATTCTCTCAGGAAAAAGACAGGCACCTCCTTTAGCTCACCACCAAAGCCACCAAAGGCTGGGACTTGGGTACAGACCCAGCATTTGACCCTCCCAATGGCAGCAAGCACCATCATCCCTGCTAGCTGATTTACTTATCATGTTTACCCAAATCAATGGATGCCATTCATTTCAGCAGAAGTTACACTGCCCTAATTGACTTTCCAACTCCATGCATACAGAGAATCTCAGCACAATGTAAAATCTTTTTGCTGAGAACCACTTTGGGGAAGGGAACATCAAAAACCCACAAATAAAATTTAGAAGCCAATGAACCAAAGATGACTGAAGTCAGCAGGTATCCTGCAAGTTACAAGTGCTGGCTTTACTTTCTACAAAGCAAAAGACTTATGCTCAGCTGTAATATTCCTTCCCTAGCACCCCATGGACTGTGTAATTTCTACATCTGAGTTTACATAGTAAAGTCCAAACAAATAAGATGGTGTGAAAAGCTGTATTACCAGAGGGACTGCTTTTCTATCCATGACTAGATTTGAAGATGTTTCTTCCTTTACATTTTGTAATTCAGTTTAAACCAAATGGCCAAGAATAGTATGTGCACCAGTTTCAATGGCTCAGTAAGACAAAGGTGTGGCTTAAGCCACAGTTACATTCAATATTTGGATTTTATGCTTAACCAAGGGCAATTAAGAGGATATTTCACCACTAAGCAAGATGGAAAGCTACTTCCCTGTTCCAAAGGCCTCTGAATTACCTTTTCAGTAAAAATAAGAATATTTAACAGATTGGAACACAGAAATCTTAGGGTGTTTCCTGGCCACCCTATGATTGTGGTGTGCTTATGATTGTTAGTAAGAAAACAAAAAAACAAATAATATAACTTCAGATTCACACATCAAACCAGAAAAAATAATCAAAAAAACATCAACAATAGGCATCAGAAGCTCACCACTTCCAGTCTAAAGTCTGGCATCTACAACTCCATTTCTTCTTCTGCACACCCAGATATTCCCAAACTAGCATATGGATCTGGAGACATGGCAGTCTGTTGTGATGCAGGGAACGTTTCAGTCTGTGGGTCAAAAGGAGCTCTTGGTATTGGCTGCTTAGCTTGACATAATTCTGTACTCTGCTGCTTGAAGTTCTTAACAGAAACAGACTTCAGTTTATCTGTCATAAATTCAGGAAGAGGTTTCCAAAGCACGAGTTCCATAGAAGGACGGCTCCTAGAAGGGATGGAGTTTCAGTAAATTTTAAGTTTTCCAATGAGAACTATTAAATGCAGAAGACCTTCATCCTTTGAGCTAGCCTGGAACCATAGTCCAGAAAATAAATACCTTTTTCCCTGCCCTCTATTAAATTTCCTCTTCCCTATTCCCTAGTTCCCTTATTTCTAGTTCTAACCTTGTATTTCCTCTCTTTTTTTTTTGCACCAAACTTGACCACTGTTGGTCACACTTCAAGATCTCATTTTGGAAATTCATATACAGAAACCCAAAACTGATACTGGTTCACTCCACAAATTTCAGTCTGTAGAAGACATGAGGAGTACAAAACACATACTTGATGACCACTACAGTCACACTTATTTCTTTTTTACATCAGGACAGTTTTTCCTCTTTGAACCACATGAATGATCTGTTACACAATGCTGGCTGCATCAAGCAGTAATCAAGGACATCTCCATAAACATGAAACGAGGTCTCTCTTTTCATTTGCACATGTTAGCTACATAGCACCATGATTTCCTCCAGAACTTACATAGATTCTATTATTTTCTTTGTCAGGACTTCACCAAAATCCCTCTTCATCCCTTTCTTAAGGGTATCTGACAGGATAAGAGTGGGCAGATTGCTAACATTTCCATCAGCATGAACTTCCTCATCTTCATCAATTATCCTAGGAATGGAGGGGGAAGAGGGAGATAAACACTATTGAGCAAACTGTTATCAGGAACATCTCTGCAGACTACAGTCACATCTTTGTGCTCTGCTCTGTGCACATCTCTGACCTGGCCTGGGTACCAGGAGCAGCAGGGCTGTGCTAACATGAGTGAGTCTCTCTCTCTTGGGCCAAAACACCCTGAGGAGGACTCACAGAAGCCACTCAAACAGTAATGCCACTCCTGGTACCTGAGCTAGCTTTGTTACCCCTGTGTTATCCCAGCAGTGTCACTGCAAACATACACTGAGAGAAAATAAACTCCCTCCAAGGGGAACTGAATGATTCAGTCACATTACACAGGTGAGTCTCAGCTATGCAGCTGCTTCACCTGCTCAATTCCCCAAAACTGGAATTGAGAATTATTGCACTGAAAATAATGCTTCACTTTTCACAAGGCTGTGCCAGTTCCTGAGATTAAATCAGCACAAATTGGTGAAGTGTTTAGAACAAATGGAAGCATCTCCTTTGTTTTTGGTTTTTGTTTTATAGAAAATTTAGCAGTGTAGCTGGGAAGAATAGGGAACAATCCTCCAAGAAGACCAAAGCAGACACAGACAGATAACAGAGACAGATTTCACTACTCTGATTTACCCATTAAAAAAATAACAGTCTAACAGTACCTTGCTTCTCCTTATGCATCATCTATGGAGTAATCTACAATTTTTTTTTTTTAATTTCTATAACTTTAGGCTTTTCTAATCATCTGCAGTGGTCATTTTAGATATTTTGGAATACCAGCTCACCTGCAATCACCTGATACATACACATGCCATTCTCAGAATTTTCCAAGGGCCAGAATGCACAGTAAATTTAATAAAAACTACAGCAGACTGTCTATAGCCACCCAATTACCCACATGACACCATCAGCAAGATGAATCTCAGCCTTATGTGCAGAGAGACCTCTTTGGTTCATGCTACTCCCTCCACTGACAAATTCACATCTATTTTAAGTTTAAATCACAGAACAAGCTGCAGTTGGTTGAAAAAAACTGAGCTGAAGCCTGAGCAGGTAGATGTTAGAATTTGAGCTTCTGGATGCTCACAGAAGAGCATTAAACCAAATTATGGTATATTGGAGCTGCATAATGATTGTGAGCAGGGTGTTATTTACTCAGCATCTCCTGCTCTAGCACCCAAAATTTCAGACCAGCCTGAAGACTCACAGGACCATAGGTAGCCTAAAATTAAATAATTTGAACAGAAGGTTGACCTCAGACTTACAGCAGTGTTATCACACTGCTAAGTGCTAGATTTACCCCTGAATGCCCACCAAAAAAGGGAAAGCTCAGCAAAGCCAGGCTACTCAATCCCTGCATTTACCTGTCCTCAATTTCCTGAAGTTTCCTGCGAGCAACCTCGCATTGCTGTTCCCCCATTGTCTGATCCATTTCTTCACAGGGAATTTCTAACATGGCAGTTTCAGGACCGCTGCCACCATACTGACTTGCTACCTCCCCAGCTGCCTGCTGACCTGCACAAAGAATCCATTCTTCAGTGTTGGGATTCAAAGGGCAATTTTTGGTTCCTGTCAGTCTCTTCTTCCGCACAGGACAGCTAGGAAACAAAGTAAGTTTACAACTGTCAAAAAAAGAAACGTGGCGTTCTACAGGAACAAATGTAAAGTGCATTTCAGCAGCTTTGACACACTGTGGCAAAGCAACCTCAACAAAGAAAATAAATCCACATTGCTCTTAGTAAAATGTGAGTACCTATTCAGGAAAATCAGTGCCACACAATTAATTAGGGAACAGAAATGGATTTGGGCTCATGTGCAATTCAAGGGAAGAGCTCCAAAGGGAAACAATGATAGATTTCCTTCCTGTTTGTATTGTAGGTGAGATGTGCTCAAACAAAACAAAAAGCAAATCAGGATTTTTCAGGCTATAAAAGACAAATTAATTTACCCTTCTGCCTCTTCTTCTAGCTTATGCTTCCTTCCACATCGCACAGAGACACTACAAAAGAAAAACAGTTACTTAGCTTCAATTTGTATCTTTTGGTTACACTGATAGTGTCAAACAATATTTTCCCCCTTTTAAAATTTCATCTGAGATCAATGGTGACAGTGTGTCACCAGCTGTGATGGGAATAAAAGTTTGGGACAATAAATAACCACATTGTTACAAAGGAAGTCAAAGGTGGCTGTAATTGCTCAGTTCTCTGAACAGAATACCATGCTAATTTCTTCATTTCTTCTCCTTTATATAATTTAGTTTTCCATAAGGGACCAATTTTTTGCTCTAAAATTCAAATGATTCAAGAAGCAATACATGACCCAGCTTGTGTCTCTTAATACTCTATATCACAGGGACATACTGAAAAAATACTAAAACAAATAAACGAATTTGAAAGTACGCAAATATGCTGGTTCTTGCCTTTTAAACGGCTTCTTCATCCCCCACCAGCCAGCTTCAAGGTTCTTAACCGAGCACAAGACAATTTTGTAACCTCCTACCAGCGCAACACTGCTACAAGAAACAAATCCCAAAGCAAAGCACCCGCGGCAGTTCCCCCCAGCCTGGGCCCGGAACAGCTCTGGCACTTACTGGCTGCGGCTCCTGCTGAAGGAGCTCACCGGGG